TTATTAATCACTGTGAATAAAAGACAATAGGGCTGTCACTGGCTTTCAGCATATTAATGGTAAGGTTTTTTACATGTGCATGTAGAGTTTTGTCCCAGTCAGCTACAAATTTTTTTACAAGCTTGGGACTGAGTCAGTGTCCTGGCTCAGTGTGGGACTTCAACAAACGTTCAAGTATAATCACATGGTTAAAAGAGTACACAATGCTTATAAGGCAGTTTCTCTAAGTAGGTTTCAAAACGTACTACAGAAGGGAACTGATACTAGTCTTAAACTGGGGGGAGCAGAGTTAGGAAGAGAGCCTTATCTGAGTCACAAAAATTCCAGTGAAGGATACTGATCTGGGTTTTCAGAGCCTGTTCCTGTGCCCTCTTTAATGCCCTGTGCTGCCCCAGAATCAAAACAGAGGAACTGAAGCTTTAATAATATTAATGAATTGTTGTGAAAGTGCTTAACAAAAAAGGAGGATAATTTGCCCCTCACCTGTCTCAAAATAGGGAATGGTAACATTTTTGCAGAAACCTGTAGAATAGCACAGTTTGACATCAGAAACTAAAAAATATGTGCATACGTATGCATACAGGTAGATCAGAACTTAGCTTCACTGAAATTTGGAAACCCACGTAATATTAATTATGGCATTGAGTAATAGATTTAACTATAGTTATTGTTTCATTTGGTGCCCGCTAAGAAGTGTCTAAAGCAACATTTCGTAATTCTGCAGGATCGTAATAACAGCAGGATCGATATAGGCAATTTTCACTTCTTTCCCTAACCACTCTCTCTTATAGGAGTAAAGAGAGCAACATATGTTATTGGCCCTTTGAAGTAAGTTATTTCTGAATACCACTGTCAAGATACTTGCTGTTCTGGTGCATGGCAAGGAAGAAAATATTTGGTGGGTTTTTTGTTTGTTTGTTTGTTTGTTTGTTTTACTTGGGACAGCTGTTTGCAAAGGTTCAAGGATAAGTGGATTGGCATAGAGGCCATAGATAGATGTATACAGAAGAAGGTAGGCAGCTGTGCAGGGCAGAAAACTCCTCATCAGCCAAGTGTTTCCTTCATGCTTCTCTGCCACTCACTCATTTTTGGAATAAAATCAATCATGGGACATCAACATTCAGGAGTAAAGAAAACAGTTCTTTCTAACGTTTTAATATTTTTCTACCCATATATTTCAAAGTGTGTGACTTCTGGACAGATGTAAATAATAGTTATAGGCAGCCAAGTAAGTTGCTGATGTTTCTGGATGCAAGAACAGTTTTGCAGTTGATTTACTGGAAACCAGGTTGTTAGTTGTTACGAGTAGGTCTCACAACACTGGCACCTCAGCAGAAACTAAACCACACTGGAAGTCCTGTTTGCAACAACAGGTAACTTTTTTTGCTATCTGGTGTAAGAGCAGATCCTCATGGGTGAAGAGCTTTGTGCACAAAGCCTTACATTAAATTGTAATCTAGATTTTGCTTCTAATTAATAAACTGAAAACCAATCTTGCTGGGTTTTTTTGATTCTAAGGGAAATTTACGCAACTATGAGCACTTGTCTTTGAGGACTGTCTTTGTCTAACAGTATTAAAAATACATGTTCTTTGCTGAGCAACAGTGTGCTTGAATTGAGAAATCTTATGTAAAATCACCCTTAAACAGGGTGAACTGTCTGAAATACGCACAAAACAATATGTTCTGCACATTGCTAAATGGGGAAATGATCCTGTTTGTTTTTCACTAATCTCTGTTATTGACGACAGATACTGTAGTTGGCATTTTGGCCTCTAATGTTGATAGAAATGTGTTCTGCAAAGCGATGCCAGAACTGACAATACTGTCTGCATCTTTTAAGGTGGGAAGTTTAGACTTATATAGTTCAGCCTCCCAGTTCCAGCATCATTACTCAGTTGAGTCATGAGGGAGATTTGGCTCAGTCACGAGTAGTGCTATATGTAAAAGAGCCTTAGCTGTTTGCCTAATTCCTGATCCTCCTGAGGCCCGAAAGATCAGTGCAGGACCTTGGGCCTGACCAGCTGCGAGGGCAGTGGAGGAAACAGCTGATGTGGTGGGCTCAGTTTTAGAGGCTTTTGTGCATTCTGAACACGACATGTCGCAATAATTCCATGGGTAAAGGTCAGAGGCAGAGTTAGATACGGAAGTCACACGAGGACAGAGAATCCCAATGGGCTGAGTAGTGCTAGAGGTTACTAGACATTAGCAACAAAAACTTTTGGTTTACTTTTTTGCAAATGATAGAAATAGAGTACCAGTCCTTGAGGGATGTAAATGTAATAGCAGAGAGCACTTGGAATTCTCCATGAAATTACCAGCTGAGGAGCCAGTAGAAAAATCCAGTTCGGGGACAGATATTGGTGGTTAAAGGTGAAGTAATGGTGCCTCTCTAGAGCAGCTAGAGAGCATCTGTTCATTCTGCCTGCTTTTCATCACAGCCCTGACTTCTTTCTTCATTTTTGAAAAAATTCTCCTTCACCAACTAAATCTTTTAGTATCTGGTACCCCTCATCAAAGAATTTACCGGAAGGAAGGTGGCAGTCTTGAACAGTTCAGTCTCTAGGGAGTCTTTGGGTTGTCCTTACCTTAAAACCTCAGTTATGGGAATGTCCTGGTGAGAGAGAAGGAGTTTGGGCTGCAGTAGTTGCTCTGCCTGACTTGGTGGAGAGATGGGGAGCTTTGCAGTGTGAGTGTAAATCACGCAGGTGTCAAGGCAGACATGGGTCACAGGGAGCCAACAGCACCAAAATGAAAAGCTGCAATCAGAAATGAGCAATAGTCAGTCCCTAGGGCTACTGTAATATGTCCCTAGTGGATTTTTGCCAGATTGGCTCAAATGCCTGCAAAATACTCATGTTTGCCCTGCTACCTGCCCAGCCCTGTCTCTCAGGGTCCTGCTGCTCATCCTGCTCTGCCTCGCTTCCCAGCAGCTGAGCTCTCGTGGTGTGTGTCACCCCATTGCTCAGTCCAGCCCATAACGTGAAGTTCACCAGTTAAGCTTCCCCAGAACTACCTGTTCAGAGAACAAAAGTATTTTTTTCAGACAAATGCATAAAGTCAGTCATTACATCGGAAAACTTGCAGCTGTGACCCAGAGCGAGCGATGTGCTGTGCCTGTGGCTGGCAGAGCGGTTCTGGGCCAGTTGCCCACAGGCCTTTCATCTTTATACTGTCTCCTCTTTTTTCTGTAGTCTCTTAATTTCCCCCTTGTGCTTTTGATTTATCTTCTTTAGCTTTTGGTATTACAGCACTGTCTTCTCTCCCTTTTCACTTGAGAACATCACTGTTTTCTCCTTCCCTTCCCCCATGTCCACACTCATAATTCCCAAATATATTTAAGTGCTATATTTGATAGCCTGCAACAGCCCTGCAGGTTGTAACAGGAAGGGTGGTCAAAATCACAAATACCAGGAAAGATCAAACCTGTAATTGCTCACATGAGATGACAGATTCCGGTTTTATACTGGATTTAAGGCAATCCAGCTGTGGGCTACTGCCAAAAGGGCTGGTCCCATCCTTTGCCCTGCTCCCTCTTCCCTGCCTTGGGGTATCAGTAGGATGGTGACATGGCCGAAGTCCAGGTTTTTTCTCCGGTTTTGCTGGGTTCAGATTGAGCTGGTACAGCAAGGTCATGCTCTGAGGCTTCTGTTTATTAGTGCCACCACAAGAAAGGTGCCAGGGAAGCACAGCTGTTGGGATGGGCACATCTTCTGCCAGGATTATATTTATATTACAGAGCACTAAGATATTTTATATAATTTTAAAATATTTATAGGGGGGAAAAAAAAGGATTTTATTTTTAAGAGCTTTGGGCAAGACTAGCTGTTTGCCAGCAAAAAGTGCAATCCTGGTGCCTTTATAAACAACAAGCCAATAGGCTGATTAGATGGATCTACTTACAAATAATCTGCGTAATAAGTGCTTGGCAAAAAAACTGCCTATGCCTGACAAATAATTAGGACTGTTGCCCTGATGTAGAAAGCATCTCTTCCAGGTTTATGGATTCTTGGAAAGAGTGGTCTATTTCAGGAAAAACAGACATGAAAGAGCATGCTAACCTGCAGAGGACCAGGGTGCTCTATGGTTTGAAGAGCAGGGCAAAACACTTCCCGGTAAATACCACTAACTAGCCTTGAAAACAAAACATTCCTGATTCCAGGGAACATGTGGTAATCTTGTCTACAAAGAATGTGAACTAAAGTGGGAGAAAACAAAAATGAGACATCTATTGCAGCACAGTCAGGCTAAAAAAAAAAAAAAAATCTACTAAGACATTGTTTTCCCTAGCAGTATTTCTGAAACTGCTTCCCAGTGTTTACCTTCCCTTGGAACATCCATAGGGCACTGGGAGGATCAGACCTTTATCTGGTTACATCGGTGGCAGCCCAGCAAATGGTGTGCCAAATTATTAATAGATGTATTGCTCTTCAGATTTCAAACTAGAACTGGGTTTTCCTGTGGGAGTTTTAAGTAATGGTGGGAGAAAAGCACGGGCTGGAATTCATGAGATACAAACAGCCTTGTGAATTCAGGATTCCTTCCTGCCAGGTGGATACTTTGTGTTTCTTCTCCCAGAGAAAAGCCTTGCAGTATGAAGAAATGATATTCCATCCAAAAAGCAGCAAACATTTTAAAATTTGGATTCCCACCAAACCCATCTCAGCAGGGTGACATTACTACAAGTTAAAGCAAGAAAATAAAGTAATTTTTGCAAAATCTGGGTTTGGGAGTGGATTCCACTCCCAGCTCACATAACAGCCCATTGTATTTGGCATAGATTTAGAAAAAAAATTATAAAAGCTTGTCTCTTTTCTACAGCAATGTAGAAAGTGGAAGTGGGGCTGTGCAGGACCTTTTCTGAAAGCAGTTTTTTTACATTCAAACTAATTAGGATAGAGAAAAAAAATTACATGTAAGAGGTTGTGGCTGTAGGAGACAGTTCTTCTTTGGCAGGGATGCTGATGAGTGCTTCAAAACTTGCTTTTCCTCTGGAGGTGTGTGTTTGTGCACGCAGTTTTTGTGCATGTTGAACTATGGCAACTATCTGTTCTTCACCTTGTGAATGTGGTTAGACCGGTATCTGGGTGATCCCATCGCTCAGGTGGCAGCATCTTTAATTCATTGGAGCAGTTGCAGTGCAGCAGTGGGACTGGCAGAATTAAAACAGCAAAGTGGTTGTGTGTAGGAAGGCTCTATATAACAGTACACCTCTTGTTCCAAGTATTTGGTACCTGTTCATAAAATAAAAAGGTGCCAGCTGGCAGTTTTCCTCATGGTAGTGTTCCTACAGGTGTGTATTAGGTACTTTTAACTCCCAACTCCATTGCCTTGACTGAGAATTACAAGAGATTAACTTTTCAAAAGGGGAAAACTCCCCATTACTTTTTCTTTTTGATGGCCCGCCTGGACATCCAAATCTCTGCAGGCCTTTGGCTCACCTTTTGCCACCCCTTCTGCACCCTCCAGGGAATGGGACCAAATGTGCTCTACAAATACTGTGCAGGTCATATGTGGGGAGCAGGTCGTGACCATTTCAGCTGGAGGAGTGCCTTGAGTGGCTTCCTGAGAGAAACAGGTTTCTAATCTCTTCAGGGCAAAATTTTAAAGATAAACATGAAAATAAAAATCCTGAGTAGACCAAGGGGATAAAATCTGTCTCCTACTGTAAGGGGAAAGAAAGACCAGATCATTCTGCATTTTCATAGTGTTTTACCCCCACAGAAAAGTAACACACTTGAATCTCTGGGTTTGGAAAAAAAAGTATCATTAACCTCCTGTTTTTCTTGGATAGTGTTTCAGATCCTTCCCAGTTCATCTGGAAAACACAAGACAAGGCAATAAACACCCATATATTCCTTTAAGACCATTCCTGTTTTCAAATTTCTTTGCTGTCTTTGGGAACTTTCTTAATTTGGAAGTAGAAATACGTATGCTTTGGGGTGGAACAACCGAAATGCTCTGAATTTTGGATGCCTTTCCACCGAAAAAACATTGCCTGCGTGGTATTGCCCTCTGCTGGCACCGATCTGTGGAGCTTCACAGGTCCCACAGAGGAACATGCTGGTGAGGTGAGGTTTGTCCCCTTCCAAGGTGTCTGAGTGCTCCTTCACAGTCGTGATCAACCAAATGCTCATGGCTTGATTTTTTCTGACAACAGAAAATCTTGTATGGACAGCTTTTTGTTTTAATAAAGCTTTAGAAGCCCTAAAGGTCCTTGATAATAATTCATTTTCCAGAGAATTTCTAAGAATCCATATTCAGTTTTATGTAGGACCTGCCCTTTGAAGACAGCTACATTAAACATCAATGCGGTTATCATGTGATATGCTCTGAAGTAACAGGAATTTTTCTTCTTCTCTTTCCCCCCTAGGGACACCTGATTCACTACCTGAGACTCAGCCATCACTTGATAGTTCTGAATTATTTGATTAATACCTTTGATTTGTACCAGCTGGAGTCTATCTCCTCTGAAGACATTAAAGCCACGGATGCTGTTTTTGACGGTGTGGAAGTCAGAGTGTTTGAACCTCCTGCCAGGGGAGATGAAAGCCTCAAGCGCGGCGTTGTTTACATCCATGGAGGGGGCTGGGCCTTGGCAAGTGCAAGTAGGTGTCTGCCAGTAATTAAATAGGGTTCTGGTCTGCTTTTCTCCAAGCAGAGAAAGCCAAAAGCTCTTTTTCCTGCCAGGAATGACAAGTATGCTGAATACCTGAATTCAGTAGTAACCGTCTCCACTCTGGTGGATCAGTTCTTAAGGAGAGAGGGAGAAAAACATCACGAACACACAGTAAAATATCTTACCTGCACATGAGCTGTAAAAGGACAAAAACGTTAATTGTGTTACATCCTGAGAGGACAGAATAGCTTATTGTTTAAATTCCTGGGGTGCCTGAATGGGCTACTTGAGCCAGTCCCCCACTTTCTGTGGTCATGTGCACGAGTCAGTCCTTGGTGATCAGGATCCAGTGACTATCTAGTGTAAGGGGCTTGCCCCATTTTCACAGAATCATTAGCAGAAGACTGAGCTGATCAACACTGCATGTAACAGCCTTGCTAATGTTTGGTTCTTAAATAACACATATCTGGGAATAAACACTGCTGAGCACAGACAGTGGGCAGCACAAGGGAAACACATAGAGGTTGGTTCCTGTCCCATGGTCTGGCCTCCTGCCTTAGGGGACCACAGCCACCATTACATAATTACCTTGAAAATTAATGCTGTTTACTGCAATTAGCTTGGTAACCACAAATATGATCTGAGAAAGTAAGATACAGCTATAGGCAACGATAAGGTAACCACTCAACCCTTCCACACCCTACTGGAGGAAAACAGCCCTGGGAGGAAAAGGGGCAGTGTGGTTCCTGTGGCTGCTCTGAGGTCCAGATCTGATAGGATTCTTCTCCCTTTTCCTTCCCCGTTGCTCGTGTGACATCCTGAATTCCATACAGCCCTGATGCCTTCTGTGGCTTCCTCTACAGGAAAAGAATATTTTATGGGTTTTCTGAAGTGATCCAAAACAGACTGTATTGACTGCATTTGAACTATGCATGTACAAGTCATTTAGAACATGATTTAAGTGACAGTTAGTTCCTGAATAACTTTAAAAACTGGCCTTTACCTGCTTGTGGAAATCCCAGTCTCTTTGTCCTGTAGTCCTGTAGCAGTTAAACATTTTACTCCTCTTCCTACAGAGGAATTGTGCTTTGAGATGGGTTTTCTTAGCCCTGCCTAAGCGATGTTTAACTTCCTGCCTGCCTCATTTGTTCCTCAACAGTTTGCATATGACTCTTGTTGTGCAAAAAGTTCATATTAAATTGCCGTGCTTTGTCTGGGTGATTTTAACTCGGCTATGTCAGATGTATCCTGAGTCCAAGGCACAGAAGTTAATGACACAATTGCTACACCTAAATATTAAATTCTCAGTCTAGATAGTTTAGGAAACATTTAGTGCCTCGGTATATTTTGTAGTACCAGGAACCAAAAATTAAGCAACTGGAAAGGAACAAAATTAAAGATAATCAATCCTCTGATAAATAGGATAGCCTTGATTAATCCTCCCTTATATGAGTAGCTCAGTTGACATTAATAGGGCGACTCATTTGAATCAAAGCAATGCATGCTCTTATAAAATGAACCACAAGCAGTGACTCATACAGTGATAGCTGTTTCTGGATGCTAATGCCCCCAAAGCACTGGGTACCTTAAATTTTGCCCAACTGAGAGAATTGTGATAGGTGGGTGAAATGACATGCCTCAAGTCACCAAGAAACAGATGAGGAAGGAAGCATTAGGCTGTAGGGCTTCTGAAGACATGAATTATGTTCCCTCTGCTACAGCATGCATTTGGCACTTGATCATTTGCAAGCTGATCTCATTTACTTTGCTTATATTTGTGTTATGTTTGTATATTTTCTGGGAAGGCTCAGGTACAGCTTTATGACTATTGACTCGTATGTCCCTAACACCATGTCCTTTCATACCAGGAACAAGCCTTTATGTCAACCTCTGCAGAATCATGGCTGACTCTCTGAAAGCTGTTATTGTCTCTATTGAGTGAGTAATCTAAAACTAATCAATTAATTTTAAGGCATTAGAAATATGTAACATAGTTCTTTTAGTTTTTCCCTTGTTACTGGCTTGTGTATAAGGCTTTAACTTGGACAATAATTCTCTATACCAGTCTGATATCCTTTTAAAATTGCAACAAAATAGCATGGTATAAAAAAAAAAAAAAAATTGGGTTTCTAGTTATTTTAGAGGTTATTTTAGAAGACAGAAATCTAGGGAAAGAAAGTAGCACTGAATTCATTTGGACAAATACTAAAAAGCAATGTTAGTGCATCTTGCAGTTTTATCTGCATGTAAAGAGTGTAGCTGAAACCTGAGATCGCTCAAGTACCAAGTTGTGATTCTGTAAATATTTGTGAACTTTAAAAACAATCAAACGAATAAAATCAAACTCATTTGGACAGGATGTGTACCTGAAAGAGGGCTGAACCACATTTCTGTACCTCCTCATATAGAAACAGGGACTTTTGCCATCCTCAGTGGCCACTTCCACTGCTGCAAAGTATATTATTAATAAATATATTTAAAGTAATGTTTACATATGTATCATACTAAATATATCCATATTAAATCCCCTAAAAGTCTATCTATAACCCACAGTTTCTAAGGGTCTGCCACGTAAAAATTAGCAAATCATTTTACCCCTGCTCGTTAACCAGAATACACTCTGGGGTCTGGCAGTTTCCTGTTGCTTTCTCAATCTCCCACTGTTCCAGTCACCTCTTTTAAGCCTTGTGCTTCCCTCAAGATCAGAAAACTGCCAGACAACAGAGAAGCAAGGCTGCTTTTTTAACACCTTGAACAATTCCAAGGTAAACAAATCTCTCACGAGCTAACTGCATTACCTAGATGACTCCAACTTGATTGGTACTGTTCCCATCTTTATTGTCAACTTCAATATTTTCTTTTGCAAACCCAATCACTTAATATAATTACTCAAGTTTCCCACCTGCAATTCGTTACATACCAAGCTTTGTGATCTAATCGCGACTTAATTGAATGGAGTTGGTTACTCATTTAATACTTATTATAGTGTACTTTGAAGGGTTGCTTTTTCTTTATTTTTTTTTTAATGCTTCGTTTTTTATTAGTAGAAGCAATGAAAACTAAAAAAAGAGAAGCTGTTGGTTATTCCAGACGAGTGGTGATCACAGTTGAGAAGTTTCTTATTCCTTTTCTGATTTATGCTGGTCTAATTCTGCCTCTTGCTCTGAGTTACTATTCACCTCTTCTCCTTAGCCATTATATCCTTCAGTCAAGGTGTTTGTACTGAATTAGTCAAGTCTAATTAGATTTCTCATTGGTTTGATTGCTCGTCTCGCTTCCACAGTCTAAGCACAGTCTGTTACACAGTTTTGCAAGGAGTTCCCAAAGGACTCTCTCACATTCCTATATATGCATAAGATATAGATTGCTTTCTGAAAGCAGGTCACAACTGGAGTGTGAAACCTGTAATCTAAGTTTAAAATTTATTCTGTGTATGAAACTTCTTTAGCTTACGGTCTAAAGATGCTTTGAACCAGAAAGCTGAATTTTGGGTTGCTTGGCTCTGCTGAGAATGTGTAAAAGCTGTTGTTTGAAAAGCTACAAACAGAAGACGTGCTCTGTAGCATAAGGCCTGGTTACAACTCTGAGATTTCAAGTTATTCAGTAAATACAAACAGACTTCTCCTGCACTGTTGTTTAAAAGCTGAGAAAACCTCGTGCCTGAGATTCAGCTCCTGGCTCCTCCTGGCAGACTGTTTGCTCTCTCTCTGCCTCAGTCTCCCCACCTGCCCAATGGGTATATTTCTGCTCCTCTCCTTGACAAAGGAAAGGAATTATCAGATCTGTTGCATTGGAGCAAACTGGTATTACGCAGTGTCTTGGCTCTTGTTCATTTCGTGGCACAGAGGTGTATACAAGGCTCATTTTCTCCTGAGCATAGGTTAGAATTTGGGAAACAGAACTGCTTAGGGGTTTGGCTCAGAAGAGCCTGCTGGATATATATGATTTACTCTCCTTCGTACTCACTAAGGTGGCAATTTGGATCAAAACCAGACTGAGTGTAATGGCTCCCTTGCCAAAGGTGTTTTAAGTATTAATTTTTATATTGCATAATGAAATCCTCTATTGGGAAATCCTAGGAAAATGCTGCACAGTTTTATACTATCTTGGTGTTATTCATATCTAGTAGGTTCACTTTAATCTTTCTGAATAGTTATAATTAATCTAACATTAATTATAAGATTAGGTCCTACATAAGTATTACACACCTCCTAGTTTCCCCATAGTATTTATCCTAATGAAGCAGCCATTTCCAATAAGGATTACCTGATATAGCCTATTAATCCTGAAGGAGAGGTACGGTGATGGTAATAACTGTCTCTCATCCCTTTGTTTTGTAGATACAGGCTGGTTCCAGAGGCACACTTCCCCGAGCAATACCACGATGCCCTTCGTGCTACAAAGCATTTCTTGCAGCCTGATGTCTTAGCTGAGTATTCAGTTGACCCAAGTCGAATTGCAATCTCTGGTGACAGTGCAGGAGGAAATTTGGCAGCTGCTGTGTGTCAGCAGGTAACACCCACTGTCTGTTCTGTGTTACGCTACAACAGCCCAGGTCAGCCATGCAGAGGGACTGGCAGATTCCTTGTGCCGCATCAACACAAGGTGATGTGTCAAACCTAAAAAGCAGGATGGCACAAAGCCAGCAGGTGATAATTTTTCTTAAAGTGACTCAATCACAATATGAATCACACAGGGTTGCTTCTACCTCAGAGTATTCTGAGAAATTTCTGTGTTTTTACAGTTACAAGTTGTTATGGACCAGATTTTAAGAGCAAGTATCTAAACTACCTTTTTTTTTACCCATTTGGCTTTTTTAACTCTTTGTTTTTCTAAGTAGGCATAATTTGTCAATATAGCTTCTTATTTTTAGATAATTATATCTAAAAATAGGGCTTTATTTCTTTCAGATACAAATGAAGGACGAGAAAAGTACAATAAATGAAGCTTAATTCTTCTGCTAAATTGTCTTCCCATAGCATTTTGCAATTTTAAGGAAATTTTCTTTGTATATCTGCAGTTTAAATGTAAATTAAATCTGAATTTGATCTAGTAAAGAGTTTAAAGGCAGCCTGGGGCAAGTAATAATATTTTTCATGGTTGAGTGAAATATTATCATTACTAACTTTCCTATTGCCATAACCCTTAGTGATAGGAAAGCAGATACCATGTCAGACAATTAATTATCATGACAACCTTGCAATATTGAATTAGGGTAAAAAAATTAATAAGAGACAATTACAATAAGAGTTTCATTATTGAGGACTGATAAACATGATAGTACCATGTTTTGGAAAAAGCATTCCTAATTCAATTTTCTGATGCATAATTCTTTTTATACAGGATGAAATATGATAGAGAATTGGGTATCTTGTGTAGGAGATGAAACAAAGAGTTTGCTAACTCTTCCAGAAGGACAACTGGGGGCACCAAATGAAAAATTGGTAGACTCAAATCAAATGCAGTTGTCAGGGTCAATTCAGACACAAAGAGGTGCTTCTGTACTTTGGTGAGCCTTTGCTAGAGTAAACCATGAGTGCCAGCAATCTGCATTTGCTGAAAAAAACCCAAAAAACCAGATCAATTCATGGAAAAAAAATCCATGAAAAGCTGTTAAGCTCACGAGCAGATCCCTTAATTCAGGAAATCCTTCAGTTGCCACTTGTTAAACTGGGCACTGTGTTAGAGAAATGCCACTTCACACTCTTTTTTTTTTTTTTTTTTAATCTTGTTACACCCTTCAATAAACTTCTGTCCCTGATTTCTGTTGGGAACAGGATACTGGGTCTGCCTGATGGCCATGTTACAAGAGGAGAAGAAGATCAGGCTGTTGATACTTCAGACCAAAGAGCCACATTACCTGTACAAGAGCAGAATTCAGCCTGAAAAGTGTCAAATGAATGTTTGCTTGTATGAAATTCGACACTGATGTATATTTATTCATAATCCCAATTCTGTGCTGTGTTTCTCCCCTCAGCTTAGCAAGGAGGAGGATTTGACTGTCAGACCGAAACTGCAGGCCCTAATTTACCCAGTCCTTCAGGCATTTGACTTCAATACACCCTCTTACCGGCAGAACAGGAACATGCCCGTTCTTCCTCGCCATGTCATGATCAACTACTGGCTGTATTATTTCAACAGTAACCACGACCTGGCTCACGCCCTGCTGATCAACAACCACACCGCCCTGGACGTCGGCCAAGCTCTTTCTTTCCGGGGCCGCCTGAACTGGACATCCCTGCTGCCGCCGTCGTTCAAAAAGGACTACAAGCCCGTGGTGCAAACCACGGGCAAGGCTGAAATCATCCGGAAGATGCCAGCGCTGCTGGACGTGCGGGCGGTGCCGCTGCTGGCGGACAGCGAGACCCTGCAGCTGCAGCCCAAGACGTACGTGCTGACGTGCGAGAACGACGTGCTGCGCGACGACGGCGCCATGTACGCCAAGCGCCTGGAGAACGCGGGCGTGGAGGTCACGCTCGACCACTTCCACAACTGCTTCCACGGCTGCATGATATTCACCCTCTGGCCCACTGACTTCTCTGCGGCCTTCCAGACCAGGAGCAGCTACATCAAGTGGCTGGATGAAAACCTCTGAGGAGAGAGGGTCCCCCTGGAAGGCAACGGGGCGAGAGGTGTCTGCTCCTGCAGGAGAGCAAACAGTGAAAAAAGTGCACTTTTCCAAAATCCTGACTTCATCGTTCAGCTGCAGCTGCAGGGGGTGCAGACCACTAACTGCAGCATTTACTAGCTCCATTGGCCTTGACCAGAAAAGTGTTTTGAGAAATTACTTTTTTTGTTTCAAACTTCAATTTTTTTTTTCCACCTTGTTTCAGATGACTATTGCCAGACATAAACAAATTTTGATCAGGGAGATCAGCATTCCTGTAGGATTCTTAACTGGCTGCAACTTTCAAGCTCTGACTCTTAATTACGCACAAAGGGTGGGGTTTTGAAGTGATGTGAGATAAAGCCGAACACCTACATCTACATCTCAATGTGTAAAAATGGGAGCTAGTTTGCAGCAGTGCTGAGCATCCTATGTTACAGTGTGAGCACTCACCTTTGACAGCAGAGCCATGCATTTGAATGGCAAGCATGGCTTTAGGTGTTGGCTTTTAGGCACATAGACAAATGGCTCATTTAAATTAAAAAAAAAAAAAAAAAAAAAAGCTCTTCTAGGCAGTTGAGGTGATGATCGGTAAGTCCCTTAGCCAAACGTGTAATCCAGCTTTGGAATTTGGTCTTTACTACCTTTTAGTTATTTATATTTTAAAAAAGGACTAAATATATTTTCAATAAAAATTATTATAGAATACACACAAATATGTAGGGTAAAATAATATGTGTAGCAGCAGAATCCAGATTTCTTAGGTGAGTGACCTTCAAAGCTGCTACTTATTTGGCTAAAGAATGTGACTTCATCTGTGTTTAAAGCCTCAGTTGTATGACTCCTTAGAGAAAAGACTGAGCTTACTACAAATAATCTGCTGTGTGGTTTGCACTAATGTTTGTAATTATTAGTAGAAGTTTTTGTTCATTAACTTTTCCTTTGTGCTTGTAGTCTTAATTTTATTTCCTGCTTCCTGGAAGGAAAGAAGCAAGCAAATAGAACTGAGCTCCAATATATTGGGAAAATTTAAACCTGAGCTTTGCAGCTGAGCTTTGTCTGTCCTGTAGACTGACCCAAAATGCTAGGTAAGCTAATCTTGCTATTGAGCAGCACATCTCTACAGTTTGAGCCAGCCTGTAAAGTTCAGACAGGCAGGACAGGGGAGGGAACCCACTCGTGTCAGTGTGTATTGTCCAGGGGGCTTATGGCTTGCAGCAATGATAGTTGTGTCAAAAAGCCTAGTGTTCCTGGGCAAAGAGGACAGAAGGGTAGATTAAATTCATCCTCAGCTTTATCAAGGACTCCCTGTGGGACCCCAGGAGAACAAAAGCAGTCTCTTTATGCTCCACCTCTGCAAGGGAGCGAGTAGTTATTTCCTACCTCACAAAGGAGCTGTGAAGCTGAATTCACAGGTGTGTGGGAATGTAACTGGCAGGCAACAATTCACATAGCTTTTGACTTTCATTCTTCTCCAAGATCAGGGTCGGAGCAGCCTGTCCCACAGCTGGGATGCTGCTGGGCTGTGTGTCCTCCTGGGCAGTTGGCTCATCCCTCTCTTGGCTCCTGTAGAAGTACCCCAAGATGAGGCTTCTTCGAAATGATAGCAAATTTCATTGGAGCATTTCTTATGGCAGGATTCTGAAGAGACCTTTCAAAAAAAAACCAAACCAGGTACTGGTAGATCAAACTGCCTTCTGACATTTAAAATATATAAACCAGTCCATTTTCACTGGGGTTTAAAATAAGAAAATGGCTTTGCTGAATCATTGTTTCCTAGGAAATCAGATTGTTAATGTGGTTGTATGTGTTAAGAAAGGCTATTAAGGAGGCAAGACCTGGATGTCAGCTCAGTCATGCAGGCCAAAACTCATTCCCAGCATAGGTTCACACGGAGATCACAAGACAAAGCTTTTTCAACAGTGGCCCAGATTCTTCTTCCATTTAGCTCATTACAAAGACTCGGAGGAATTAGAGCAGCCAAGTGACAATTTGAATCAGAATAAATTTTTGATCAAGATATCCAATTAACACTGCAGAAGAATTCAAGCTTTCTATCTGGATTCAAACTCTCTTTCCTCCTTTTCCCCATAAACACAACTAAAGTTATGTGTTTTCCAAAGAGAAATTACTAATCTGCCCTAGAGTCCTTTTCCATTATATGGAGACAGCTACATTTGCCTGATTTTAAACTATCACTAAAATAGAAAAAAAAATACTGACAACAGGCTTCTTCCTGAATTTCCCACTTGTAGAGTAAACCAAGTCAGAAAAGATGTAATTTATATCTACTCGCTGTCATTAAAAGATAGTATAACTGTAGTACTGGAAAAAAAAGTGGTTAATATTTCTATAAATCCTATAATAATTAAGTTTTCCTGAGAGCTGTCTGCAAAGCTTTAGCTCAGCATTTCTTTGTAGCTAAGTTATTAATATCTGCTATGAACTTATAATTGCTGCTGGTTTTTTTTTAACTGAAATGAAAGGGAGAGCTGGAATATATATGTTCATGGAAGAATCGGTTGTAAATTTATTTCATGCACTGGAGCACAATTTAGTCCTGGCACAAGAAATGGTAGTAAGTTTATAACTGGAGCGAATGTGTTTACTAAGTCATCACCAGCCTGGTGCGACACCCGAGATCGCAGCACAGCGTGGGTGGGATGTTACAGTATTAACTACTTCTGTCAAAGTACCTTGACTACTTCTGTCTTGCAGCCCTGTGTTTTAAAACATGACAGCTGCAAAGATGCGTGATGGATCCTACAACATAGAAAAAAAGAGGTCTGAGTTCCAGCTCTGAAGAGACCTTTAGTATACAGCTGCACAAAGACACTTGATCACATTCAGTGTTAGTCCGAACTCGCCTTTCCTCCTCCTTTGCTCTGTTCTCCTTTGCACGCAGTCCCCGTGCCCGGAATTGGAAGTTTAGGGTTGTTTCCAGCCCTGCTGCAGCAAGCTCCTAGAAACAGCACTAACTCGGGATTAGGGAAAGCTGGTGCCCGATAGCAAGGGATTAAGGTTAATCCACGTTGCAACATCTCGATTTGTTCATGTGTTTTCCTCCTTCCCCAAGTGTTTCCTCGGGCGTAACTAGCACCTCCATCCCTTGGTTATTTCCCAAAGCGGTTTAGGGCACTTTGCACGTTGTAGGAGCAGAGCAAGTGTTTGTAACAATATTTCACCTGTGCACGGTAGAGTCAGCCTTGTAAAAGGAGATACTCAGTAAGTTTGTCTGCTTATCCTTTCCTTACATCGATGAGTATGGCTAGCTACCATTTTAAGATAGCTTTTCTTCCCCTCCTACAATTAGAATTTGTCTCTCTATTGCAAGAAAGCTTTAAAAAAAAAATAAAAATAAAAAAAGCAAGGACAACTCGCATAACAACCTGTAGTCATGCATATCCTGCTTTCATAGACCTGACCACTGTATTAGTAGGTTCCCAGTATTTTGGCCAATATTTGAGGCATAAATTGAGGTTTTGTCTCCCTAGTTTAGGACCTCTTGAAGTATGGGTGTTCAGCATTCCTGGAAGCTCTGACCTGTTAAAAGATGATTCATAATGCATAAAAATCACAAATAAGTTGAATTTCCTAACCTTCATCGAAATAGTTCTAAAATTGTATCCGCAGCCAAAGCAGAAAGGCCATTGTGGGTTTTAAGTCCTACAAATAAAAAGAAATGCATTTTTTTTTAAATGTTATTTTGTAGCATTTGGGCCTCTGTATTTTTTTGATCTCTTACCAAACTTTATTAGAAACTTTTTAAAATAAAGTAAAAACATTAGAAGTAGATAAACTTGAGTTAAACCTTTTAAGCTGCTATGATCTGTAACAATGATGTTAAAAAAACCACCAACAAAACAGCTGGTTTAATGTTCTCATATTTATGATGTTCAAAACCCCACAGTACAACATACTTGATCTGAGTGCATTCAATACCTTATGCATGACTGATTTTTGCCTTTTTTTTCCCAGAGCAGGGGAAAGATTTGTAAGATTTAATTACCAATTTGATTTGAGATGTGCTATCAAAATGAAGAACAAATAAATAAAGTGAAATATATCTGTGATTTATGTCTTTTTCACAGGACCACTGATTTTGTATTTCTGAACATTTCCAATTTGATTTTTTGTTGTTTTCAAGGCAGGAAACTTTGCCTGTGTGTCTGTGGGCTGCAAGGGTCACTTCCTTCTTCTTTATTTCTGCCAAATGATTAATGGTGACCACATCTGCTGGTGCTAAAGACTGGCTTGTACCTGCTCCAGTGCTGTTGTTCTCTTTCCAGATAAACAGCAGAGCTCATGTTCTCCATTCTGATGTATAATCACATTTTTATATGTCTGTAGGTTATGCGTATGTTTGAAATCTGTTTTAGCCAGTGAAAGTCCAGGTTCCTTTTTCATTCCTATTTGCCTTCCTTTCACATTCTTTCTTTCTGAACTGTAACCCATTTTCTGTCCCAGCTCTCTCATTTATTGGTGATCACAGGAGCAGTGCTTTTGAAATATCCTAATGTGGGGGTTTGCCATTTTGTCCAGCAGGCTCCTGTGACGTTCAAAGAATATAAAGCTTTCCACCTGCTGAAAAAAGTGGGGGAAGAAAAAGCTTCAAAGAACTTATAACCCTATTTTTTAAGCCAGCAGGAGTCACACTCCTGCTTGCATTAAATCGAATGCATTAAACTGAAAGCATTAAAAATAGCCTGGGCCTCATAGAACATTTTTTTCCAGTTGTGTTTTCTTAGATGTCATCAAACATCTGACTGTGCAATGCTTGGCAAGCCCAGGGCAGTGCCTCCCACAGCCAGGCGCGGCCGTGCAGTGTATCCCATGCCTTGGTGGTGCTGGAGCTGGATGTCCCTGTTCCCATTGCAGCACCCTATTTCCCACCTCCCACCCTCACCTAGAGCAGCAGCAGCAGCAGCAGGTGCCTGGTGGGGCTGTGACTGACCCAGGTGCCCCTCCAGCCCACAGAGCTTCGTGCCTCTGCATCCAGAAATCCCAGCCTTCTCCTGCATCCCACCTGGCTGGGTGCTGCTCCTTGCCTCACACTTAAAAAACTCTTTGGAGCTGGGCCAGTGTTGTGTTTTGTTCATCCTCAGGGGAGGCACGTATTTTCTCCTTGCTCTTACTTCTAGTTTTTCTGGCACTAATCCAATGGAATTTTTTTTGTTTTATAGATGTTGTCTAAATAGCTGCCAGCACATCATTAATATAAGACTAAATTTACCCCTGACACAAGTTAGGTATTTTTTCATAATTATTTTCTACATCATTCTAAAGTGTTTATCAACTGTTCGGCAGGAACACAAGCAAAGAAAACAAAAAACAATAAACCCTGCAATCACTACTTTAAAACTGTTTCTACAGAAATTTTATTTTAAATAACTTTTTCTGACTTTATATAATCTAGAGAACACTAAATATTTCCGTTACAACCCCTTTTTCTATTTTGAAACAGAATCTCTACAAATAACAGCACTTCCCATCATAGGACATTCTAGGGATATAGGGGAGGCAGAGTTTGTTAAAGGAGAGAATATATTGAGAAACCTAAACCAGCAAAAATAATTGCTGCTATAGAAAACTACCTCTCTCACAAACGCTGTGCCAGTATCAGGACAGGTGCAGTACACTCAGTGCCACTGAGATGTGGGATTCAGGGTGTGGTGGAGGAATAAAGGGAATTCTTACTATTAACCTAGGAATTTCATTACCATCCCGTTTCAGTCTGAGGTTTTTAATTAAGAGGTAATAATTCACACTTATAGCCAGCAGAGGGAGCGTTTAAAGCAAAGACTGGTTTGAAAAGGTGCAGCACCTTTCTAAAACCGCACTGTAAAACCGAAAGTGTTATTTGTGGGAACTGCACCAAAATATTTGTGGCAGCCGAGCCGTGACTTGTGAATTCATGCACAGACAAGGCAGAAGAGTCATGCTAATGGCGATTTACTCGGATTTCTTGCAGAAAAACCCAAACAAACAACCTCCTCATAACCACTCCATGCCAGGGATGCCCCATCCCTGGAAGTGTACAAGGCCAGGTTGGACAGGGCTTGGAGTAACCTGGTCTGGTGGAAGGTGTCCCTGCATATGGGAGGGGGCTTGGAACGAGATGAGCTTTAAGGTCCCTTCCAACTCGAACCATTCTGTGATCCTGTGATTCTATGATTGGTCAGCATGAATCATTCAGCCCTCAGAACACCCTTAGAGGGTTTTTTTAGGTAATCTGGCTGTTTAGTTCAGACTCTGTGAC